GTACCAAAATCCTTTGTTTGTACACGGATTATTGGGCCGTGCATTATTGGGTCGTGCATTATCGTGGCTGTACATTATTGCCTCCCGACTTAAGAGAATGTTTAGTTTTTTTATTACAGCATTTCTTCGGTTGTTACGCACATTGTGTCCAAGTTGTTTTATAATTTTCATTAACATTGTTACTTAAAAATGTACTAAGGAAAGTGTATTTAATAAAATATTGAAGTTTTATGTTATTTTATTTATAAACTAGCTTTTGCCCGCGATTGTCTGCGTTGGAATGAAAAAACATAAACATAAAAGAAAAAAATGTCAACTACGGATCCTTTAATCTGTTCAACAGTAACAACTACAATCTAACAAATTTAGTGATTCTGTATTTTGTGTGAAGTAAAGTGTTAAAAAACAATTGTAATAAGCGAATACCCCTTATTGTAAGTCGCGAATAAAATTATGGAAGAATTATCAAAGCGTTTTAACTGTCCCTCACACTCGTAACATTATTTAGTTACTCTCATTATTTGTGACTAGCTTCCGCCCGCGACTCCGTCCGCGTGGTATCAATAAAAACAAAAGAGAGTAAGTAGTTGTATTTTTCCAGACTATCCTCTACACCTATGCCAAATTTCATCGAGATCCGTTCTGCCTTTTAGGCTACAAACTTTAACAAACATCCATCCATCCAAACTTTCACATTAATAACATTAGTAAGATGGTTCTGCAGGTCATTATTAATTTGAGAAAGCAGTTTTATTTAAGTTTTAATTATAAATCTGAAGATTCCAACTTCTATAATAAAAATAGAAAATCGAAAAGATTCATGCCTGACTTTACACAACCCATCTCTACTAAATTGTCACATGAATTGTCAAACTAATCTACCTTATTTAGACAAACTAGTTGGGATTTGTAATAAGTTAAATAAGAAACATTGATTGATTTTAAAAATATGTCTTACTTTAATGCAAAAATAATGTTAACATTTCCACAAATCTTGTACTTCATCTAGTCTACTTCTGTATAACTTGCTTCTCTATCTTCTCCTGTTGTTCCTGTGATTGGAGCTGCTGCAGCGTCAGCAGGGAGACGCCGAGCTGGTCCTCGCGGGTGAAGGGCTGCGCCATCTGACGGAGCCAGCGCTTGCAGATCTACAAACATTACATAAATATTTTTATTAGCGTTCCAAACATAGAAGTATGACGAAATAAGAGAGTGAGTGTTATGTAGTTAGAGTAAGAGTAATGTAGTGAGAGAGTGTGTAATGTTGTGTGAGAGTGCGTAATGTAGTAAGAGTGAGTGTAATGGAGTGTGCGAGTGAGTGTATAGGAGTGTGAGAGTGAGTGTAATGTAGTGAAAGTGAGTGTAATGAAGTATGAGAGTGAGTGTAATGTAGTGAGAGTGTAATGGAGTGAGAGAGAGTGTAATGGAGTGAGAGAGAGTGTAATGGAGTGAGAGAGAGTGTAATGGAGTGAGAGAGAGTGTAATGTAGTGAGAGTTAGTGTAATGGAGTACGTGTGAGTGCAGACCTGCACAGCCTCCTCTGTGCTGAGGTTGCAGAGGGAGTCGCGCAGATGCTCCTGTATCCAGCGCGGCAGCTTGCTGCGCTTGTCCGCGCGGCTGAAGCGCTTGTCCGCGAATATCATTATACCGTAATCCGTTTTGCCTCTGGAAAACAATAAATATTGCGAATATTACAAGTGTTGTCTCTTTCTAATTAATATATATCATATAGATCTGTTCTTGTCTAAATCCAAACAGTACCTGAGCGCTCTACCGACGCACTGCGCGGCGTGTCGCATCGCGTCGAAAGTTAGAAAGTCATTCTCACGTATCTAAAACAAACAATTTACTCAAAACATTATTTTAGTAAAGAAAATTTGAGTAATCTTGATCAAGTTTGAAAATAAATTCGTTTATTTGATGATTCAAATCTGACTCGAAGGACCGAATATCTCAAAAGGAGTAGGCTTTAGAGCTTAGTGTAGGAATAAAGCGCCCGACCACTTTCTTAAACAAAGTAGTAACTAGTGAATGTTTTAAATGAAATTCATTTATTTTATGTTCATATCCGACTCGAAGGACCAAATCTCTTGAAAGGCCTAGGCACTAGAGTTTTATAGGAACTACGCGCTCGACCACAAATAAACAATTTAGCAACTTATAAATAAATCTTTCAAATTAAATTGGTTTTTATGCATAAGAGTTAAATTTAATATACAAAAGCCGAGTGGAAGGAGCAAACGCAGGTACCTGGAACTGGTCGCGCAGGTAGTCGAGGCGCGCCTTGAGGATGCGGCTCTGCGTGAAGACGTAGGGGATGCCGAACATGAGCACGGCGCGGCCGAGGTGGTGGTCGAAGTCCACGCCCTCCGACACCTTGCCGCGCGCCACCGACAGCAGCACCGCGCCGCGCCCGCTCTCGCACGCCTGCACAACACTCAGCACCGTACACCGCAGCCCACCGCCCAGGGCAGCCCACCGCCCAGGGCGTCCGACTTAAAGATATTGAAAGGGAGCAAAGGGCGATGGCCGTCCGTGCCAAGATGTGAAAATCACTCTTGAAGGTGTACTGCCAGACGTTTTATACTTGCAATCTCTGTGTTAGTTATACGCAGCCGTGTCCAATATAATAATAGTCTTAGAATTCTGCCGAGGCTCCCCCGACACTGCAGTAAGAGATGTTTGCGCATACTGATTGAAGACTTTTTTTTTTTATATATCATACTTTAACGCTATACGCATACGGACGGTTCGTCTTTTACGCAGAGTTCGGGAGAGTACATCATCGTAAGAGGGCTAATTGACAAGCCCGAGTACCCGGTAATGGGATGGCAATTAGGTCTAGTGTATAGGATACTTTCGTCAATGTAAATAAATAAATTTAATAAAATAAAAATTAAAACGGCATTATTTATTTAAATCATGTAACATAATTGACATTGACAACATTGACAAAACACACATAAAATAATAATAAAAAAAGACATATCGACGAATTCAGTACCTCCTAGTTTTGGTAAGTAGGTCAAAAATTAAAACGGACTTAAAGTCACAAAAAGAGCGTCAGACACAGAAAACGGAAGATGAAAATACCTTGATATAGTTGATGAGTGCGAAGCTGGTCTCCGCGGAGTCCTGCGTCTCTATGAACAGCAGCTTGTGTCGCTGCAGGCTCGCCACCACGCCTACCACACATTACTAAATCTATACTAATACTAGCTTTCGCCCGTGACTCCGTTCGCGTCGTATTAAAAAAAAACAAAAGTGAGAATTCTGTGTTCCAGACTATCTTTTATATAGATGCCATTCATTGAAATTACTTCAGCAGTTTGGGCTAGAAACTCTAATAAAGATACATCTATACTTTCGCATTTATAATATTAGTAAGATATAAGATTATATATGCAAAACGTAAGTTTTTTTTTATTTTATTTAATAACGAGAATATAGCATATTTACAGAATAAATCTAATGTGACACTATATCTATGTGATAATAATTACAAATAGTTAAAATACAATAAAAAACTGATAATAAAAAAGAAAAAAAATTATACACAGAAATTAAAAAGAAGAATATAACAACATAGCTAAATACCCCTATTTGCCTCGTCTTCCACACATCTGTATGCATTCCTGTGAATTTCGACTCATTATAAAGATATCTACTAGTATATCTTCAGAAATGACATTGAGCAGACGTATGGCGGACATTGGGGCATTTTTCAATAAATTAGTTCGCGAAAACGGCTCCAGAAAAAGCTACGGAAGGATGTTTGTTAGAGTTTTCAGCCTAATATGCCATAGACGTAGTCTGGAAGAACACATATGCTATATACTTGTGTTGTTTTAATTCCACGCAGGTAGAGTCGCGGGCGAAAGCTGTATTTAATAAATATATACAAAATCACTCAGTGATAATGTACCTTGCTAATGGTGAAAGAAATTTTCAAATCGGTTGAGTAGTTTTTATGTTTATACGTTACATACAAACATACATGTTTTTTTAACATAAAAAATCAATTAATTTGTTTTTAAAAGGTATTTTTTCCTTTTATCTTTATATTTGGGTGATGTATCAATATACTAAGGGCCTTTCCCACCAAATTATCTAATAACAATCCGTGTAAAATATATTATGACAGTGACGTCATTTATTACCTATCTGAGGCTCTATCAGCCAGTGGTGGGACAGGCCCTTATTAAGGTAAATATAACTACCTTGATCGTACCAGGCGCCGACGACACTCTCCAGGTAGAGGTAAGAGGTGAAGAAACAAACCACGCCATCCGGCACACACGCTGATATCTGCAATTTTATATATTACTAGCTATTCGTTATATTAAAAACATAGCTTATGTTACACATCAATAACGTAGCTTTTAACGGTGAAACTATTTTTGTAATCGGCGAAGTAGTTTTTTAGTTATTTCAATAAATACTTTTAGACAACTTATTTAATTGATACTGTCGCTTTAGACTCAGAGCAACACTTCTTGTCAGGACTCAGGACGCGCCAATCTAATCATACTTCTAGTGACATTGACAGCTGTCAGCTAGGGACGTGACGTTTATACCGATAATCTAGAGTTGCGCCAATTCTATAGCACGGTACTAATTTTGTTCTTAACAATACATAAATCTTTCCTTTTTATAATATCAGTATAGATTAGCATATGTATGAGGAATAATTTGATTTGCCTCGCCTTGTTTAAGTATACATTTTAATAACTACAGTAAACCCGATAACGAGATAAATTGCTTCGCCTAATCGAGTATTAAGAAAAATATATACGTTAAAATTTCACAGTACAGAAATATGTATGTGGGAAATATCCGCGTTATATGGGGGAATGTCTGCTTTATACGAGGCAAGGGTAACACTGTGTGGTGAGTTTTGAGTGTTATGTTGTGAGTGTTGAGTGTTATATGGTGAGTGTTGAATGTTGAGTGTTATGTGGCGAGTGTTGAGTGTTATGTGGCGAGTGTTAAGTGTTATGTGGCGAGTGTTGAGTGTAATGTGGCGAGTGTTGAGTATTATGTGGTGAATGATGAGTGTTATGTGGTGAGTGTTGAATGTTATGTGGTGAATGTTGAGTGTTATGTGGTGAGTGTTGAGTGTAATGTCGTGAGTATTGTGTGTTGTGTGGTGAGCGTCACCTCAACGAGCAGTTGTCCGTAGTTCCTGATGACGGCGACATCTTCCCGCGACTCGTACTTCGACGATATCGCCACCTGGTCGCTGCCCTTTGACACTATCTGAAATATAACCAATTTACTTCACTTTATTTAACTATTCATATAATAAATATATTCTATGCAAGGCGCGAAAGGTCCGCGAAGCAAACAATCACAAAACAATAAACATGTCGTCTTACTAATATTATAAACTAGCTATTGCTCGCGACTTTGGCCACGTGAAATTTAAATATATGCCTATGTTAATGATAACGTAGCTTTTTAATTGTGAAGGAATTTTTAAAATCGGCCCAGTCATTTTTAGTTATTTCAAAACATACGATAATCCAAAAATACAATTCTTTCCTCTTTAAATACTAGTATAGTATACTATATATATAAAGTAAACGAAGATTTGGAGCTTATATCGAAATGGTGTAAGCTCAATAATTTAATACTTAACCCCACAAAATCAAAATACATGGTTTTTGCAACACGTAGGCAGGTTGACAACATTCTAGCACATGGTCCGCAAATCTCCATTGACGGCTGTTCTTTAGAGCGGGTCCTCCTAGCTCGCAACTTAGGGATAATAATGGACAGCAAGTTACGTTTTGAGGAACATTTATTAGAAACAATGCGCAATTGCTTTTATAGGTTAAAAGTTTTGTACGGCATCCGCGATTATCTATCGGTAGATATCAGAATTAAATTGTGTGAAACACTTGTTTTATCCAAATTGTCATATGCTGATACTGTTTACGGCGGTTGCCTGTATGCGATAACTAAAAGAATGATTCAGAGAGTTCAAAACGCCTGCGCGCGATACTGCTTTTCTATCCCACGGCGATCTCATGTCTCTCCCTTTCTTAACCGGCACAACCTTATGAACATGGCCAGTCGACGAACCCTACACATGTCCACGTTGCTTTTTGGAGTAATCAAATCAGGCGAACCCTCTTATTTATATGAAAAGTTAACCTTCTCACAACGTTGCATTAGGACAGCACCACGACTTAATTACCCCACGTACCATACGGCTGCCTTCCGAGGCAGTTTTCGATTTGCCGCAACTAAGTGCTGGAATGACCTTCCACCTCCAATTAGAAATTTGAAATCTGTTCACTCTTTTAAATTTAAATTAAAAACACTTTTACTTTCTACACAAAAATCCACCACATAAAACATAAAATCATACCCTGTACCCTGTGTGTATTTTATTCGTGAGTTCTGCCAATGCGCGCTAAAATATTATTTTGTTGTTTAAATGTGTCAGGTTATCAATTGCATATGTCAAAATTTTATTGTTACAATGTACATTTTATTTTGTAATGGAGAATGAGTTTGTTATGTGTAAAACATGTGTGTAAAACATCTATTTTAAAAGCCACGGAAGATCAGCACATTTGCTGAGTGGTTATCACCAATAAATAAATAAATAAATAAATAAATATAGGATGCGAAAGTTTGGATGGATGGATGTTAGTAGTAAATCACTCTTAACAAGTAATGTGGTGAGTTGTGAGACTCACCATGGGCAGCAGGCAGGGCCTCGCCAGGGTCATGGTGAAGGAGCTCATGATGACAGGGTTGAAGTCCAGGATCTTGGGGTACATGTCCAAGGGAGATAATGTTCCTGGAATATGCATATTTTACAAATCACTACCCTTAAAATGTCTAAAAATTGAATTTTGTCTTATATTGTCATACAAGTTCATACAAATATCCATGTTATGCGGAGAGCCGATGGAGACATAAACCAGAAAGTGTTAAGATTGAATATGGATGGCTACAAAGGAAGGGGAAGAACGAAGAAAGTATGTATGGATTGTGTGAAAGAGGACATGCTTAAGAGAGGAGTGGATTTAGATATGGCTGATAGATGTATGGACTCCATACACTCAGCACATACTGTACCTACCCTCAGTAAGGGATGAGGGCAAGTGGATGATGAAGTTCATACAAATATCCATAATGACAATCACATACCCGATGTTATTATAACTGATTGGAATCTCGCGAACACGGGCCGCATAGCTATTGATGAGTCCATACAACTGAAATAAAAAAAATAAACATATATAAATCTTAAAAACGAAAAATAAAAAAATGTTAACACACGCAACTTTATTTGGAAAAAGAGATAAATAAAAAAAAACGGAAAATTCGTATCAAATTTTATAATTACACCTATACATAGAATTTATCGAAAATATGGAGTTTAAAAAAAATACAAATGGAACAGCAGAAAAAAAACTATGAACAAAATTACATAAGAATAGGTTTAAAAGGGTTATTTGACAATAAATACAGTCAGGGAATCTGGCGGTGTTGCACTTTAAATGCTATAATTGTCGTATGCGACACTCACTGCATATTTATATTATAAATGTGAAAGTTTAGATGGATGGATGGATGGATGTTAGAGTTTGTAGCCTAAACTGCTGAACGGATCTCGATGAAATTTGGTATAGATGTAGAGGATAGTTTAGGAGAACACATAGGCTACTCACTTTTATTTTTTTTTATTCCACGCGGACGCAGTCGCGGGCGACAGTTATTTTTTCATAAGAGGCTAGGTTCGTCTCGTTTTAAGAAACAAAACAACTTTTATAAGTGGGACACCGCGGATTTCCACAACTGTACCTTTTGCATACTCACGAGAAATACAATATAGGGTTGGAGACGGTGGGCGTTTTATCATCGAAGGGCTCGATGATGATGACGAAGCCCTTGGTGTAAGTGGCCACGAGGGTGGCGAGGTGCGTCACCAGCGTCAGCGCCGCGAACCCTGAAGGGTCGGGGATCTGCAGCGCGCGGAGTAACGAGGACAGCCGAGATGCACAGAAACGTAACGGTTTACGTTCTATACAGACCCGTGATGCTAGATCTTTGAGGAAACCTGACAATTTTAAGACAAAAAGCCTTACCATACAAAATTCAGATAGTGTTTTAAATCCTTTATATTAGGGCTCGGTGCGATTTTCAACAAATCATGACTATTGAAAGGTTATGCGTAATCTTGCATGACGCGATTTCAACCAATAAATATAGTACATATTTATGTTGAAACAACCATGTTAAAGTCCATTATATCAAGTTCATCATGTTAATATACGTTTTAACAAAACAGTGTCTAACTATTATTTGGCATAATACAATAACAGAAATAAGCACAATTATAGCTGAATTGCATGTCATTTTATATAATAATCTTGAACAGTAACATCAACGTTTCATTTAAAAATAAAATTACTTATATTTTATGGTCCTTCGAGTCAGACATTTCAAAAATTTTCATATCCATCATACTAATATTATAAATGTGAAAGTTTAGATGGATGGATGGATAGATGGATGTTTGTTAGAGTTTGTAGCCTAAACTGCAGAACCGATCTCGATGAAATTTGACACATATGAAGAGGATAGTCTGGAAGAACACATGGCTACTTACTTTTGCTTTTTTTTATTCCACGCGGACGCATTCGCGAGCGAAAGCTAGTTTAGTATAAAGTGTGATTTTAATGTTTAATTTGACTTAATATCTTAATATTTACCTGCGGGTGACTCCTGTACGACATGCTGTATTCGGAGCCTGGTTTTAAGATATTCTATGAACCGCTTCAGGAAGCCTAGGAAGTGCTCCGCGTTCCTGATATTGCCGGGCACCACCTCTGAAGAAGACATTAATAAATCCTGTTATATAAACTATTATTCTACACTAGATTCTTCTAGAACGTTCTGTGTAAACAAAATATTGCAATGTGCAATCTATACTAATATAATAAAGCGTGAACACTCACTTCTTTGTTGCCTAAGATGTCAGCAATCACAGCATATTTTTGAATAACTCTTTTTAAATAAAAAATCCCTACACTTACATCATGCTTTAGTCTACATATTTATACGCCATTAAACTTAGTTGTAAATATTTTGGATGAAAACCCTAATGTGGGAAAGAGACCATAAGTTGCTGCCAACATCAAGGAAACAAGATTGCCAAGGTTTGACATCATGTCATGTCATTTTGACATTTGTAATTCATAATTTGACACATGTAAACAATAAAATGAAATTTTTATAATTTCATGCGAATAAGGTCGCGTGGGAATAGCTAGTTTATTATTTTTTATTATCATACTAATATTAAAAATGTGAAAAGATGGATTGATGATGGATGTTTGTTAAAGTTAGTAACCTAAACTGCTAATTGGTTTTGTTTTCTTTAATACCACGCGGACGGAGTCACAGGCGATAGCTAGTTAATGTCTAAAAGTAGGTACTTCCGCAGTCAGCCTGTCCTGCTCTCTCCTGTGGGACACAGGAGACAGAAGAGACAGAGACAGTACGCACCGTTGAGCACTTCATCCGGCAGTATGGGGTTGCCGAGTATGGTGTCGGTCTCGCGCGCCGCCGCCGCCTCGCGCAGCCCCTCCACCAGCTGCTCGTACTCCGCCGTCAGCCGCGCCGCGTCCTGCTCTCTCATACTACACGAGTTGAGACAAAACATATCCACGGGCGAAAGACTGTTTCAACCGCCATTTTAGGCGATATTGACTATCTATATAACCAGAATCAGCGAATTTTAAATACGAAATAAATAATGAAGTATGCAGAATTATAGTAATTTTAATCATAAACCGTTCTGAAAATCTTTCAATTGCTTTTATGTTTTTTTTTTTCTAAAAATAAAAAGTTTAAATGGCTCTCATGAACATTTAACGTAAGCGACGTCCCTGCACCTAAATCAACAGAACATCTCTAAAACACTACAATTTAAACCATCGACAACTTACTGTGCGACGGTCTTCTCTAGCTGCTGCAGCGCGGCCGTGCTCTTGTCTATAGTGCGGCGAGTGATCCTCACGCTGAGCGAGTCCACGCATACATTGTCAATGTTGTGCGCCTCGTCGAACACAACCACGGCCTCCTTGTGCAGTTCTTTAGAGACCACCTCCGCTATCTTCGGGTCTAATAAGTAGTGGTACGAATAGACTACTATTTCTGCGTGGATTATCTATCAAGTGGAAATAAATTAATAATTAATATAATGTGACATTTATTAATAGTAAAGTTACTAAAACACAAATAAATAACGCTGTTGTAATAAAATAAAATAATATAAAAAAACACAAGGCTAGTAAATTTAATTTTATCAGTTTATATTTTAATGTAAATTTAGAGTCGCGGAATTTTGCGGTTTTCCACTTACAAAAATATTACTTTGTTTCTTGCATTAAGACAAACTCCGCCTCAAAAATAACCAATTTGGTAGAAGTGAGTTGCAAAAATAACATAATAATAAATAGCACCTAACTGCTAACAATCAACCAACCTTTTAATAAAGACATAATTAAAATATGCATCATACAAAATATTCAAAAGACTGTAGCTTTAAGATGGATCACCGCCAAATTCCCTCACTGTACTTTAACCAGAAATAACATCCAGATAAATCTGTAGATTAAACTCTAATATGTTTATATTGAAATTGTAAACAGACTCACAGCAAACCTGGACAAGAAATATGGACACCAATTTCTATCAGCACCATATTGCTTCATGTCATCTATTGTGTATACTCCGTACGGTAACATTGATTCCTTGCCTTCTCGGTTAAAACCCTCGTAAAACTGACCTGGGAATTTGACCTTACTAATCACAGGATATAAAACATTATTTGTATATACTAGAAGTAAGTCATTACAATAAGTAAAAGCAGACAAAATACTATACACATAGAGTAGACATCAATAACTCAAACCTCGGTAACTTAAAAACCTCTATAACTTCAAAAAATAATTTGTTCCTGCAGAGCCTAAAACCTCTATAACAAAGACCCTTGATAACTTAAAACCTTTATAACTTATAATATTTTGTGTTTCCCTTGGACTTTAACTTATCGAGGCTCTACTGTATACAGTATATATATATAATACTCTATTAAAATAGAAAAAAATACTGGTTATAACTTAAAATTAATGGTTGATAATTACTTAATTTATTTAAGACCAATTGAAACTCTTAGTTAACTTCCTTCTGTGTGTAAAATAGTGTTATACTAGTTTAGTTTGCAAAATATGAGCATAAGTCCATGTGTTCTTCCAGACTATCCTCTACATCTATGCCAACTATCATTGAGATCTGTTCAGCAGTTTAGGTTACAAACTCTAACATCCACTAATCTAAGCTTTACCATTTATATTAGTAAGATTTACTTACATATAGGCACAGAGCCATCACTTTCATGTCTTTCTCGGATGTAGCTAGCGGTGAGAGAGTGGCATTTGCCATCAACCAGCTTCCCCTCTCTTTCCCTTGACACCTACAAATGTATATTACTCAAATAACATATTAAAATACCAAAATAGAACTGAAAGGATTAATATAGAAAAGGGATGGGGAACCACTGGCATGCATGCCATAAATGGTACTTGATATATTTTGGGCACATCAAAAATTAAAAAAACATAACATAAAATTGTGAAATAGTTGGACAATGGAATTCACGTAAAAATTGCAGTCAAAATTATTCAATGACATGTCTAAGACCACATTAAACATTTCCTTAAAAAAATGACAGACACATAAATGTTTGCCACCCCTGATATAGAAGAATCTTTTAATTTTCTTCTAATTTAAATCTATTAAATAGGAAATCAATCTCAGTAGAATATCATAGAATATAGATAATTAAAGGGTAACTCAATTAAAAAATGATTTACACACATTTACAGACACAATAATACTATATTAGTACAGAATTCATGTAAAGATGTCTATCACAACTTACATCTGGATGTACACATAAATTCTTCCTGGAACTAAGTACTACTCCAGTGAGACTAGGCTTCTCCCCTTGACTCTTTTCATAATATTTAATAAGATTCTTCAGCTCTTCTAACACTTTCTCTATCTCTGGGACAGTACGGGAGCAGTATATCAACTTTCTGAAAACATTGAAACATTTATACAAACATAGTTCCAAATGTTAAAAAGACTTAAAAAAAAATCTCACCTGACATGATGTGGATTTTGTATCATATAAGCAACAATTAATGATAATAATGAAATAGTTTTGCCTGTCCCCGACGGCATTTCAAGTAGTCCATGGCCCTGTAATGTTTTATTAATGATATAATTTAAAATGTAACGATTACTGAAGTTTATTGTGATACGAGGATTGTACCTTTGCATCAAGAGCTCGTTTTAATTCAAGCATGTATGCATACTGCTCTGGGTATATGTAATCGTAAGGGAAATACACTAATAATCCATCTACGGTGAGCCTAAAACAATAAACTTTTGGTTATTACTGAATTTAAAAATCATCAAAATAGAATAATAGACTACTGACTTCATTTTAAATGTATACAGTTAGGTGTCGGTAAGTTTTGTAAAACTTTTTATTAAAGAATTAACTACTTATTAATCTAAATAAAGTCTTATTTATAAAATAGTTTCAAACCGCATTATTTGCAGTGTTTTGACTTTTAATGTTTGGATTTTTGACAAATCGACTTATTGACAGCTGTTTGACATCTAAAGAACAGAGTAAAAAAAGAATCTTACAGCCACAAGAGACAGAGTCATTTTAACAATCTAATTCGAAAATTAAAGATTAGAATATCTTTTTCCATCTTATTTTGTAGTGGATAGATAATGTCTAACAAAAAGCTATCGCAGTGGTTACTACCAAAAAAATAAATTGTTTGTTACTGCCTGCCTACCCCACAAGTTGTAGCCGTAGGAGCCCAGTCTTTAAATAACTCCGTTATCGTAATGTAATTTAGGATTTAGCAGTGTTTATTAACATAACGATACAACATTAACGATACTAGCTTAGACAAATATGCACAGGAGACCTTTAATTACTTGTTTACTGGACCTATGAACTTTCGATAACGGATCATTTTTAATGCAGCAATGCATCATTCAATCATCATTTGTATTTGCAGCGAGATAGTTGTAAGAAATGGTTAAAATTGCAGTTATCGGTGCGGGGGTCAACGGTTTGACATGCGCTTTAAAAATTAAGGAGAAATATTCCGACTTTGATGTGAGTGCGTTTTATAATTTCTAAAAAAAAGTAAATTTGACCTAAACAAACAGTCTTGCCAAGTGGTTCCATATTAAAACCTGCGATCAAATTAGGATTCGAACTCCAGAAGTCAAATGTTACATTATCTAAACACAAATGTCTCACAATTTTTCAGGTGACGATATTTTCCGAGGAGTTTACGCCAAACACCACAGGCGATGGTTCAGGCGGACTCTGGTATCCTTACCTCTGTGGTAGTACATCACAAGAAAAACTTACGTATGTAAAAACTTTTCAGTGTTTTAAATTTAGTGGTTCGTTTTAGAGTTAATAATCTTTGATATATTTCCGGATACAGGAAATGGGGTAGCGAGACTTATCAATTTCTACACGATCTGTGGTACACTGGTGGGTATCATATATCCCTGATGCCGATGTACGAGCTGTATAGAGACAAGCGCGAGGTGCTGCGCCCGCGCTGGGCGGACCTCGTCTTTGGGTACAGGGAGCTCGACATGAGACAATTAGATCATCTCAGTCGTATGCACTCTGTTAATTATGCGTAAGTAGTTCGCATCATTTTGAAATCTTTTTTTCTAGCTCTTTAATTCTTTTTAAATAATAGACCGGAATACGAAAGTTTGCTATAAAAAGTGACATTGATAAAGATATTAAAGGCTTGTATTAAAAAAACACAAGAATACTGTCTGGTGTAATTCCAGGTTCACATTATGAAAATACAGTTGTACAGTAGTGTTGGTCTAGCATGGATTGATTTTCTACAGTGGCGCCAGTGGTATACCAATTGCATAACATCACTGATTTTAAGCGCTACTGTCCTACTGTACTGGCGTGTTACGATTTTAACTACAGCTGAATTTATCAAACGTTTGTTTTTAAACAGAGCTGGACGTAGTTTCACAACATTCGTGATCCAGGCGCCAAAACTATTGGAGTATTTGTACAAGAGGTATAAGGCTGCTAATGGAAAGATAGTGAAAGCGAAAATATCATCCCTATCGGATTCCTTGCTGTCAGGCTACCACGTGGTGGTGAACTGCACGGGGGTAGGCGCGAGACATCTCGTACCCGACGATAGAGTGTTTCCTATACGTGGACAAATCGCAAAGGTAACTTAACGGTAGTCATCAAACTCCATACTAATATTATAAATGCGAAAGTTTAGACGGATGGATGTTTGTTAGAGTTTGTAGCTTAAACGACTGAGCGGGTTTCGATTAAATTTGGTATAGATGTAGAGGATAATCTGGAAGAACACATAGGAACACTTTTGTGTTTTATTCCACGCGGACGGAGACGTGGCGAAATCAAGTAAATCATAAGGAGCAATTAACCACACGCTTAGAGTCAGCTTTTCTTTTGGTTGTTTGCAAGAGCGCACACTTTAGTCTATCGCATAACTGTTGCGACTGTCGATTGTTTCGCAGCCCATTCAACTGTTTAGTTGCATAACTAAAAATCGAGTAGTGAGCACCTTCATGTAAGCTCATAGCAATCAAAGCGAGACTAAACAATTGGTTTACTTTGTTGCAAGCAACGTAGATTTATGTAATAAACCTAGCAAAGGATATTATGTCTATATAAGGACATATGTTGACATCTTTCCAGGTAAAAGCTCCGTGGCTAAACTATACAATAGTTGATGAAGACAGTGGTCATTATGTAATTCCCAAGTAAGTTTTAAATTTGTCACCAGTTTTAATTGTACCTTTTTGACTAGTCTTAAAGTTCAAATTTGTTTATATCTTGTAGTGATGCGTTGTGCGTGTTGGGAGGAACACACCAGGAACACGATTACAGGAGGGAACTAGACGATGAAAATAAAGATTTTATTATTAACGGTTGTAAGCAAATGATACCTGGACTGAAGGTAATTTGAAATTAGGAAATTTTAAAACGAACACATACATTTAATTTGTATTTTTGAATCATTCATGCTAAGCTATTATACTAAACAATCTAACAGCCTTCATGTTCTTACAGTATGCTGAATTAATACAGCACTGGGTAGGTTTGCGGCCCGGCAGAGACGAGGTGCGACTGGAAATCGAGGTGAGGGAGGGCAAAGTGTACATACACAATTACGGACACGGTAAGTACGCTGTGCACATTTTATAGATGAAACAAAAATTTCGTAAAGCGCCTTTCGAATTTAAAGAGCAAATTATTCCATGTTGCTATTCAATTGTTGCAGGCGGGAGTGGGCTGACTTTGTTTTGGGGTTGCGCCGACAGCGTGTTACAACTGCTGACAGTCAGCTTGAAATCAATAAAACCCTCCGATTTTAAATCAAAAATTTAATAAAAATAAATATACAGACTTCTTGAGAAAGAAGAATAAACCGAGAATATTAAAATCCTGGCTTATAGGTGTTGAAATAGATTTTATTATCACTTTTTATGTACACAAAGACCATTAGTTCTATCATGACGGTACAAACCACGTATTTAATTTGTACTTATAAATATAAAATTTTATAAACCTTTACAAAATATAACAATAAATCTATAGTTATAATGAATATTGTTTCATATCCTTGTGATATTACAAGTTCCAGTTTCCACAGATTATAAAAATATTTATTTGCAAATCTGTATCGTATCATAAACGTCCGTTCGTCTTTGACATCTTATCGGTATTTGACTTCTTACTTCTTCAACTGCAGTTAGATCTGGAATCATAAAATTTTAAATAAAACTCTAATAACAAAATACTTAAACACAAAAGAACAAGATTCAGTTATGGGCAATTGCTTGTCGGTGACTCAGTGGTTTAGATCTTAGACTTGTAATCTGCAGGTTCGATTCATCGTTTGTTTTAGAATTTCATTTACACGACGTTTTTACATTGAAAACATTATAATACATATATTTACGAAATTAAAGTAAACTCTAAGCCTTTCTATGGTGAACTATAATGATGTAGTCAAAAGTACCTATATCAGCAAACAGCGTGCCCGGTTTTTCGTCCAATTTGGCGACGGGTTTTCCCCAAGGGTCTATCAGCGTGGAGTGTCCCCAAGCAACGTATCCGGCGGCAGTGTCGCGCGCGGGGCTCGCCAGCGCCACCCACAGCTGCAGGTCGGTGGCTCGCGCGCGCCCCAGCAGCTCCCAGTGCTGCGGCCCCGTCGTCATGTTGAACGCCCCTGGGTACACTAGCAATGAACAACCTGGAACAATTCATATATAAAAAAAATAACTTTTTTAATAATTCGCCAAAGAAAATTCAAGAAACTTACCATAGAGTATACGAACAATCCGTCATAGAGTATGCTAGTAAGTTGTCATAGAGTATTCAATCAATTCGTCAAAGACTATTCAAGCAGATTGTCATACCACTGATCTGTTTAAATGGATAGGCGATTTCTTGAAAATTACACATATCGCTTCATTCACAATTAAACCCCCATTTTAATATTAACAACCGAAATCTATCTCTATTACGATTATTACTATCTCTAGTTCGAATCTTTACCACCATTAACAACCGCTACAATGGTGAAAATCAAAGAGGTACACAATACTAAGTTTTATAGCCTCTCTGACTTATATTAATGGACACATCAATAGAAGTCAGAGTACTTAATCAATATGTCATAGAGTAGTTAAAAATCATTTTTTTTTACAATAAACAAACCTTGGTCGGCCATAATGCGCGCCATCTCCGGGAACCTGAGGTCGTAGCAGATGCCCAGCCCTATCTTAATGCCCTGGAACTCGAACGTCGTGATCTGGTTCCCCGCACTCAGCACCTCGGACTCTTTGAATGTTATCTTGTTTGGAATGTCTATGTCGAATAGATGCAACTGAAATAATTTATAAGATAAGCTGGAATTTAATATATTCAAAATTAAAAACAAAACCTTTTTTAAAAGAGTTTTTTTATAATTTACTTTTGTACTATGTATAACAGTTTTTAAGGTTTCTTGAAGTTCATAGACGTCGGATCAATTATTGTTAGGCGACTCGCTGCTCGTTTGCCCCCTTGTTGTATAAAAAACCCTGGTCTGGGTTATTTACCAATAACTTTTATTAGACCGATCACTTTATATTTGAAAAAGGTATTGCATATACCTTTCTATGCTTAGCAAGCAGTTTCCCCGCACTGTCCCACACAGTGCAAGTGTTGTACAGCTTGGGTCCGCAGCGCTCCGGCAGCGTGCCGCCCACCACGCACACGCCGGCCTCCGCCGCCGCCTGCGAGAGCGCCTGGCACGTCGCCCCTGATGGCACTTCCTCTGCATACTCATTGAAGAACTCTACAAAGAGGTTAGATGGATCGATGTTTGTTTGAAGATATCTCCCGAATTACATGACACATCTGAATAAAATTTATCACAAAAATAAAACATAGTCTGGAACATACTTGCTTTTTATTTTTTTTTTAATCCATGCAGATGGTGTTGAGGTAAAAGCTAGTATACTTATACTTACGAGTACCATAAGGAGAATTGAAACACTCAGGCAAGGCTATCAATTGAGCTCCTTTCTCTTTTGCTTTGTGGATCTCTTTTACAGCATTTGCTACATTCTTTGTCTTGTCTGGTCCAACTGACAACTGGACTATTGCTATTTTGAAACCTTAAAAAAATTATATTAAGTTAAACATTTTCTGTTAAACACAACCATAATTCAAACAAACATATTTCTTTTTTTTCCAGTTTAAGGAGGAACTTTTTATACATGTTTCAAAAGACAGAGGTCTATGGATAACAGTTATTTTGCTATATTTGATTAATTCAAATGGTTGCTTACTCATTTGCCTTTCTACTAAATATGAATAAAAAATAGAGATGAAGTAAATGATAAGTATTTAAATGGATATAAAGATCGGTCTAAATCTTGGAGAAGCATAAAATATTTTTAAAACAGCCTTGCATATCTCAAGCTTACACTATCTTATCATTAGTAAATATGCATTAGTTAGAGTTTGTAGTTATAAACATTACCACAGATAATACAACTCTATACAAATATAGATAAAAATACTTATAACACAGTGTTTTAGTTTATTTTAAAATTCTGTTAATTTAATATGAACTTGAAAATTTGATTACATAATAAATACACATTTTAAACAAGCTACTTACCCATAATATGCAAAAGTTATGACTGATAGCTACTTTATCTAAGGTCAGAGCCAGTTTTGACATAATTATCATATTGTAGTGCTTGATAAAATGTTTCAAAACCGTTTATTTATTTCAACAACAAAATGATATGTTCAAAAACACTTGGTTAGTTAGTAGAAAGCAAGGGTTAATAAATATCTACGCATAAACCAAATACTATACCCCCAAGACAATAAACAGGTTTCTTTGCAAATCGCGGATGTACCGCGTCCGTGGTACTTTCACACAAGCTGATACCGTTTGAATTCATTTTAATTTATTACCTTTTCTCAACATGACCAGTTGGGTAAATTAAAGAATTTACAGTCTTAAAGTTAAATAATAAAATAACGAAGTTAACCTGTTTTTTAAACGACAGCTGATATTTATTTATGACAGGTGACATTGACAACTATTAAAAACCACTGATCTTTATAAATGGACAGGGTATAAACACGGTATTTTCTATCCATTTAATTTTTAAACAACAAAAGGGAGTTGGACTGCAGACAAAAGCTGTCATTTTCAAACAATTGCCTATACAACTTGTTTTGGAAGCGATTAGATAAAATAAAACGCCATAGTAGTAAAAAATAAGGTTTAATTACATCTTACATAAATAGACATACCGAGCTAAAATGTTGACTAAACCACAAACTTACAATTAATTGTCACTGCACAATTGCGGTGTTTAGTAATTATTTGGTCTTTTAAATCCTGAAAAGAGCGAGATAGAATGATGGTTACAAGAGTGAAAGAACATTTTTCTTAAAAAAATGCATTAAAGATAAAAATATCCGACCTCTTGTGAAACCTCCCTTACTATCCATTCACTGGCATGTGTATTCTCATCCTAATGAACATATCTTCGGATAAAAAAATCCATCTGAGCACTCAAAATAGGGTAAATGATCTAGTTATTGTCACGTGCGGTCAGTATAGCGATGGTTGGTTCGCGGGTTGGCTCGCAGGTTGGTTCCCGGGCTGGTGCGCGAGGCGGGCGCGGCGGTCGAGGCGCGCGCGGCTGAGGTAGGGCGTGGGCTGCTTGAGGTGCACGGTGCGCACGTGCAGCTTGCAGCTGTTGGACTGCGCGAACGCCTTGCCGCAGATACCGCACTCGTACGGCTTCACTCCGGTGTGACACTGCATCGGAATACCTTCATTAATGTGGTTGTTGATATTCCACTCTCATTTTCTTGAAAAGCGTTTTGTTTTAGTACAGATCATTGATCTCTAAAAATGGATAGGTTTTGCAACTGCATTGAATTTTAAGTAAATGACAACTTTCGTTTAGTTCATACTTAAATTCTTGTTGATGTTACTGATAATTAACTTTATCTATTCCTTTCATTATCGTTTCCAAACATAATCGTTATTGCCAAAATGAGGAAAATACTAATTGTTAAGCTTTTAAGCCATTCCGTTTATAAATTTTAGTGTACCTATATTTGTAACAAGTAGATGTAACAAAAATAGTCATGGATCATGATCGATGACTGTCTCGATAGCTATATAGTACAATACGGTCTGTATTAATGTAAGTTATTGACCGGTATCCCTTTTTTTAAAGGTTGTTTTAGTGAAAAGATGAGTGTGGTGCCGGAAGCCTAACTAAAGTCCCTTTTTCTTTACCACCCTTTTCTTACAAGGAGAGGATGGGTAGGGGAAGTGGATTTGACGGAGGAGGAGATACATAGGAAGGGGAGATATTCTCTTCATGTGCGTCTCCTTTA